GCCTGTAGTCCCAGCTACTTGGGAGGCTGAGGCAGGAGAATCACCTGAACCTGGGAGGCGGAGCTTGCAGTGAACTGAGATCGTGCCACCACACTCTATCCTAGGTGACAGAGTGATACTCCATCTCAGAAAACAAAAGAAGTGGCAGAGCTGGGTTTAAAATCTAGGACAGCCTGAGTTTACATCCCAAGCTCTTACTACTATACTACATTGTTGCTTTTAATTACACAGTATTTCCTTGTATTAAGCCAGATTAACTGGAGCTACCCTGAGTTTCCAAACCTTCCGCTCCTCCATTCTCTCCACAGCAGCGAAGGCCACAGACTGTGCTTCGCTTGCCTCCCATCCCACTTCTGGGGCCTGATGGTTCTTACCTTTTTTCTTCTGGGACGTTCTCCAGTAGCATTTGAAGGAAATCCTGGGATTAAAAAAAGCAAACCATTAAAGATGTCCATCAGTAAATAACTCTGCCTGGAACCATGCCAGGGGCTGAGGACTCCCAGCTACGGGCAGCTCACCTGCTAGAGAAGCGAGACCTATGCTGACTTAATAGACTAGAGACTCGATTTATTAATTTCCCAGGGTTTCAATCGAATCATCGAAAGAGATTTGTTTTGTGAAAACCAAGAACACGTTAAAAAGTGGACTGTTTGTTATTCTGACCTAATCCAACAGTCTATTCTGTTTTGTGTTTAGCCATTTTCAAAAGGCTGGCCATCAAGTGAAGCATTATCCCTCTCTACTGCCCCATCGCCTGTGATTCCTGAACCTTCCCTAGAGATGCCTGGATTCCTAGAGGCTGGGAACGAACTGCAACTCTCTTGCATTGCTCTACCAAATGGTAGAGATAAATATCGAGATGATAAATATGCCATCAAGGAACAAAGATGTCCACAACTCCAAGCATGGCTCACAAGCCCCAGGCTCCACCTGCAGCCTCTTCTCACGCCCTTGTACAAGTCCTTGGTTACCGGACATTTCAGATGTTTAGATGATAAGTTTTTTAGACCTAAAGGCATGGCTTACACACACACACACACACACATTTTATTTTCCTTTACTATGGAAAATTTCAAGCGCAATCAAAAGTAGACAAAACCTTCACATACCCACCAATGCCCAGCCCATCCCGCCCTATCCCCTTTCCCTCTTCCTTTGTTATTTAGAAGGAAGTCCCCAACATTACATAATTTCATCAATAAAGGTTTTAGTAAATATCTCTAAAAGATAAAGACTCTTAAAACATAACCACAAAACCATAAAGACCTAAAAAACTCAAATATGAAAATGTTCATTTATATTTAACTTGTACCGTGAGTACTGTGACCCCTTTTCCAGCCCATTTAATTCTGGAATCTTGATTTGTTCCTAACTAGGGCTGTCAGATAAGAAGAGATACCCAGTAAAATTGGGGGCATAATTACATTAAAAAATTATTTGCTATTTAACTGAAATTTGAATTGTACTGATTTTTCTGTTCTGTATGTTTATTTGCTAAGTGTGTAATCCTAGTGTCAACCTTTCCTCATCTGAAAATTTAATAAGATATACCTTGGATAAATACAGAACATGAAACAAACAAGAACAATATTTAACTTTCTTGGAACTTGATGATATTGAGTAACAAGTAAGATCTATACTTGAAGTTTTTCTTTTAATCAATAGAAAATAATCTTTTAAAATGGGTCTGCCCAAGAAAATAATCTTTTAAAATGGGTCTGCCCAAAGATGACAGACAAGAGTCACTCCAGACTAGGCCCTCCCGATAGAACCACGTCTGCGGATGCAGACTCCACAAGACTCTGATGACACCCATTTAACTGCAGACTGAGGCCTCCCGATAGAACCACGTCTGTAGATACAGACTCCACAAGACTCTGATGACACCCATTTAACTGCAGACTGAGGCCTCCCGATAGAACCACGTCTGCAGATACAGACGCCACAAGACTCTGATGACACCCATTTAACTGCAGACTGAGGCCTCCCGATAGAACCACGTCTGCAGAGACAGACGCCACACAGGACTCTGATGACACCCATTTAACTGCAGACTGAGGCCTCCCGATAGAACCACGTCTGTAGATACAGACGCCACACAGGACTCTGATGACGCCCATTATCTGCGAGATGGAAGCAGTAGCACAGATCTTCGCGTTACAGAACAGACAGAATTACAGAGGAATGGAAATCTGCAACCCATTTGTATGACGAGGTGTTCTTCCTCTATCATCACATAGAAATATCACTACACTAGTGAAGCTGGCGGTCCTGTTTCTACGTGTTCACGGGTGGTCACAGTCCGTTTCTTCCAGAGACAAAGTCTCCCTATTAAGAGCATTAATGAAATATTTATTTCTTGCAATGTCTGTTCTTCTGAGACTTTGTTTATTGCTGTTTGACGTGAATTAACAATACAAACAGTAATAAAACTAATGTTTAAAAAAATGGACCACGGGAAGAAAATGGGAGTGGGGGGACAACCCCACACTGACGGATGCCTCACAACTGAAGTTGTTCCTTGCACTTGCATATATAGAGAAAATACCAAAGGAGACAAGAGCAGTATTTAGAATGCAAAGAAGTATTTTTGCTTGAGGTTCTTAGAGTTATCATTCTTATTATTTAAAAATTATTTTGCAAAAACATTTAGACATTTATTTATCACAATCTAATATATTATTTTATAAATTTAATATCTTAATAGATAACTCTGTAGATTAATTTCTCTCTGGCTTGTGGATAGGATTTTTGATTCTTAAAAATCCAAGTCCTTGTAGGGGCCAGGCACAGCAGCTCACGCCTGCAATTCCAGCATTTTGGGAGACCAAGGTGAGCAGACCATGAGGTCAGGAGTTCGAGATCAGCCTGGCCAACGTAGTGAAACCCCATCTCTACTAAAAATACAAAAAATTAGCTGGGTGTGGTGGTGTGCACCTGTAACACCAGCTACTTGGGAGGCTGAGGCAGGAGAATTGTGTGAACCCAGGAGGTGGAGGTTGCAGTGAGCTGAGATCGTGCCATTGCACTCCAGCCCAGGCAACAATGCGAGACTCTGTCTCGGAAAAAAAAAAAAAAATCCAAGGACTTATAATGATAACTTTTTACTAATTTTACTTCATTATCTCCTTGTAGCCCATAATAATGTATCCTATATTTGCCTGGTAATTTATGCTCAATTATATGGGGGAAATTACATTAATTCAATGGCAACGGGGGGAATGTAATTGCATGAGAAGCAGGAAATTCAGAGTTAACCTTAATTCTGCCCTTTTGCATTTTCCAATCACAATCAGATCCTTCTGTACAGGACTGCAGAGCACAGGTATCCAGAATTGGGTGTTGAGTTCAGGGTAAGTGCAGGAGGCCCCGGGAACCCTGCTTCGTGTTGAAGGAAGATGGTTGTCCTGCTCCCAGTGGGCTGCGATCCCGCAGCACCTGCCTCTTCCTACCTCAGAGCTCAGGCCTGTAGGCAACAGAGCCGTGAGCTGGAGGCTGCCAGCGCTGCTGGGGATGACAGGCCCAGGGCGTCTTGGGCATCTCTAAGACATGGGGCCTGCGTTCCCACAGGCTATAGGAATGTCTTTCTACAGTGTTCGATATTCTTCTGTTCTGTGCTTCATCCCATTCAAGACAGCAGGTCTCATCCAAGCAGTCTCTGTACCATCTATCCATGGAATTAACCCACTGGCCCTTCTGACTCCTGCCATAGATTCCATCTTTAACCATGAAACACCCGTTTTCCTGTTTCTTTTCATAAATTGGCATATACCTCTAGAGTGGACTTATGACAGAAGCTTTTTCCACTTTCTACAGCACCAGAAAATAAAAAGAAAAATGTCTCTTATGATTATTCCTTCCTGCACCACCTCTTTTCGATTCTTTCATCTGTCTTCTTTCTTTCCTTCAGCGTATTGGCAGTTTTGTGAAAGCAACTTACAGATCTTATTCGAACAAGGAGGACATTTTTCACAGCTGATTCTAGAATCATTTGACAAAGTTAGCTAGCAACAAATAGTAGGGGCCCCAGTTTGTCACCTCTGCAGTAGGCCTGAAAACAAATTAAAACCAAAGCCCACCCCTACTCCCCAAAATCTATTGATAAAACAATAGAATTTTTTGAATCTATGAAGGGGATGAAATTCTATCTGGACCCTTGGCAATGGTTATAAGCCCACACTCCAGTCAGAAAATACATTCCTTCAGAATTTTTTTCATTTCCTACTCTCCTAATAATCTATATGCCAGTCAGGTCCGTCGCATACAGCTTATTTTGATTAACACCTAATAACACTAAATTAAGCACTACACATTTTTAAAAACTAACACTGATTTTGGCACATGGCTAATTTGGTAACTATTTTTTAGTCCTGGTGAAAGCATTCAACAGAAAGCAGGTACATGTAGATTCTACTGGATAAACCAACACCAGCTTGACTATTACATGGGGCTAGCAATTTCTGTCAAGTATTTTATGAATAATTATCATGTTCATGGGGAAGGGGTGGGAGGTAGTAGAGGCAAAACAAAATATTGAAGGAAGGATAGGATTGGCAGGATAAGCACTGAGAAGAAATGAAATTGTCAGGAAGAAGTCATTGTTAACACTCAAGAGAGGGCTTTTGGGGGGGCTAGAAAGATGGTAATATTGGCTGGGCGCAGTGGCTCACGCCTGTAATCCCAGCACTTTGGGAAGCCAAGGCGGGCGAATCATGAAGTCAGGAGATCGAGACCATCCTGGCTAACACAGTGGAACCCCATCTCTACTAAAAAAATATAAAAAATTAGCCGGGCATGTTGGTGGGTGCCTATAGTCCCGGTTACTTGGGAGGCTGAGGCAGAAGAATGGTATGAACCTGGGAGGCGGAGCTTGCAGTGAGCCAAGATCGCGCCACTCACTCCAGCCTGGGTGACACAGCGAGATTCCGTTTCAAAAAAGAAAAAAGAAATTATGTTTCAGGGTATTCACTTTTTAACACCTAAATCAAGATAGGAAATTAGGAGAGGGTTGGAATGAATGTATTTAACCCCAAACATTGGTCCTAAGACCCTTCTGCAAACCCTCTTGGTGGCCAGCCAGCCTAAAACTGGATACCTACAAAAATGAGAATCTCCTTCCTTCCAGGGCGGTGAGCTGGTGCTGAGTCGTGTACTGAAAACACACCGGCCAGATCCAGACAGGCCTCATTCCATCTATGCTGTTTTGCTTGCTGAGGGATCTTGGAGTCTCAGTTTCCCCATTTGTAACATAGTAGATAAGAGATAGGTTCTAGAGCCAGACTGCTTGGGCTAAAATCCCAGCCTGCCGCAAACAGCTGTGAGATCCTGGGCAGCTTACTCAGCCGCTCAGTATCTTGGTCCTCTTTTTGGTATAATCAGGATAAAAACATCATGGACCAAACAGTGTTGTTTTGAGGA